ACATAACTAACAAATTAAAAACGAACTTCAAAACTAGCCATTTCATTGGACGAAACGGGATGAAAAATATTGCAATTTTGGGTTGAAAAAACATTTTTTTAAAGGGTGGGTGGGGGGTTTTTTTAAAAATTCCCGTGGGGCTAATGAATTTCCCACAAGAGCAGGTGAACTGGTAGATGCATATGGAGGCGACCAGACGCGGAAGCTTATCTTTTGTGGATACAGAAAATAAGTTTCTACTAGTGAAGGTTCTTCGCAGTTTAGCCGCGTTAAATGTTCTAATAGTTGTTGTTAGACGATTTTTGATAACGTCTGATGTTCGATCACTTTTAAATTCCAGACTTATATAAAGGTTTTTCTTCGGAACGGAACAACTAGATTTCTTGTTGTAACTGCTTCTATTCATATTCTTTTCTATGAACCGTTCTGGGTAACCATTTTCCGTCAAGGTTTTCTTGAGGAATGCGAGTTCTTCGTTAATGCATTCCGTACTGCATATCTGATGTATTCGATAACATAAAGAATGAATGAGGTTTCTCTTCCTACTTAACGGAACCCAGCTGTAGAAGTTGGTTAACTAGCCATTCCATGTTTGTTTTCTAAAGATGGATCTTTTTAAAGAACCGTTACTCTTTCTCATCAGACGTACATCGAGAAAAGGAATTGATTGGTTTCGTTCCCTTTCTAACGTGAAGTCTATGGAAGGGTGGCATGAGTTAAAGGTGTGTAGAATATCATCTAAATCAATATTATTGTAACAAACGACAAACTTGTCGTCCATGTATCACACGTATAGGTGGAACCGACTGATCATTGAACGGAGTTGGTCGTTTTCTACTTTTGCCATCAAACAGTCTGCTAAAATTGGACCCAATGGAGACCCCATAGCGATCCCATCCCTTTGTCTATATATTTCATTATTGAAACTGAACTGGACATTAAAAGTACAGCGTAACAATAGTTCTTTCAAGTGTTCAGTAGGCAAACCTAGATCTATGTTGTTAGAATTAATATACTCACATATATAACATGTCGTCTCAGTTAAAGGTACGCTAGTGAACAAAGAATTAACATCAAGCAAGAACATGTGTTTTTCGGAAGTATTAACGTCCTTAATACGATCAATAAATTGAAAAGCATCATGAATAGAATATTTACATAATTGCCTTCTAACCGGTTACAATTTTTCCGCTAACCATTTGGCGATTCTGTCGTATGGTGAACTTGACATGTCCAGTTTAATAGTTAAATTCATGAGTCAATTGAAGCTAGATCACCATGGAAAACCTGGAAGCTTCAATTGACCCATAAATTCATCTATTAAAAGCGAATATTGTTTTATAATGAACATAAAATTGTGATTGGGGCATAAACAAGGCATAGTCATACGAGGTGAAAAAAAGTTAATGTGGTGGTGGACGCTTCGTGTTATGATTGGTGGGTTCTTTTATCAATCACACTTTACAATGTTCGCCCTGGGATAGTCACCACTAATAGGATTAAATGATCATCGTGACATATTGCGAAGTGATGTAATTTGGAAATCTCTGAAGCAGTTAGTTTGAACCCAGTAGTTTAAAGGTCATGTGTTCACCGTGAAATGTAAAGGTTCTGGGTTGAATCGTCGGAGAGGTTAAAGCTGTTCACTGTTAAAGAGTCCCAAACGAGGACTAAAAAGATGTCTAGAAAAGCTTCCTTATTTCAACAGGTTTTCAGATCGATGTAAGTCTATAACAAAAACCATTTATGAATGTAGAACAAGTATAACAGATCATGTGAAGTTGAGTTTGTTCACAATTAATTCAATCAGGTCATTTTATTAACTGAGTCATCCTAACAACAACGTATCTATATCATTGTTTCTTTATTACTATTGTGAATGTATGAACATGTATGCCTGAATATTGCTTACGGCCCTCGCATCTATTCACTATGCTAGTCTTACTACTAACCACTTATTTGATTCGATGACTCCTTCATTCCACTATGTATATATATGTCCATGTCATTCATATTCATTGCTCTCTCTCTCTTAATTTTACGCGCTTGATCGTATTCATATTCGCTGACTCACCCGCTCGCTTGCTTGCCATTCGGCACAACTCTTCGATGCTTGTTTAACGCATCTGTAATTTTGGATATCTGCGTGTAACGTAATCAACGCTTCGTACTCGCCTTCTGATTAACAAACCGTTGGGGCGTTATAAAGGACGGTTACCAAGACAAACTGTATACGAAGTTTAAGAATTATATAGAATACCGACCACTACACAAGATGAAACGAATTGGCTTTTAATATTATTTTGAAGATGACTGACATATTCTTTTGTTTTTATTTTATTATGTTATTAGAAATTATGACAAGTTATATAAGAAATACACTCCTTACTTCATGTACTTATCAAATTTAGGCATATCACAGCCTTTTTTAATCTTCAAGAAACACAAACCGCAAATGAATGTATTGAAATTTATTGTACGAAACTCAGAAAAAAAATTATGTGCAGGATGCTGAGTATGACTTGCTAAGTTTCTGAAATATTTTAAACAGTACTTAGAGGTGTTATTCAAGACGTCCACTTTGGTCACTTTAAGATACATTGGTAAAATGTACCAGGTTTTATTTGTTGTTCTTCATATTTAAGTTCGAATATGATTCCCATCGCTTCAAACACTAAAGACTTGCCATAGGGTGTAAATTTGAAATGATCTTACGAAATACTGCAAATCCTGAACTTCGACAAGACAAGTGAAAGCTCGAATTTGAAGTTGTTGTAATTTAAAACAGATTTAAGTGGATCACAAAATATTGAATTGCACAGTAAATGTATCACGTGTTTATTACAAATAGTCACCTATTCGTTCAGCGGTTATGGTATTTACTGATGATTGTAAGGAGTCTTTATTCAAACAGACTGGTTAAATCCAATTATAAATAATAATATTGAGCAAATACAAATTTCTTGTCAAACGATCATGGTACTTGAAATTTTACATGACTTATCGATTCTTGCTTTTTTAGAGTAGCTTATAAGATTAACTAAAGGAAAACAATAAAATCCTTTTACTCAGACTGAGTGATTAAACCTAACGTAGACGATCATTAGAAAGCTATAGATGTAGACTTTGGGTTGGCTGGAGCAGATATCCTAAATCTACAAATGGTTAATTGTAGTCTGAATAAGTTATTAATAGCGCGAATGACTGACATCGATCCAGAACTCTATAGGAGCATTAGTTCCCTCAGAAATACATATGTGTTTAGCAAACGTGTGTCAACCACCACAAAACTTAGATCCGAGGCTTCCTACCAACAGCCTTTAATGATATTATATAAATGAAATGTTTAAGGTTTACATATATACTTATGACTTAAAATTCACATACTCCACATAACACTTAATCCCAAGCATAGTTAGCTCGTTTTTTATATCATTTTAAGCATAAACCTTAAACAATCGTTTTAGAAACTTTGTGATTTGGTGATTAATCATAATATTAGTGACTTCTAATTTTACTTCATGAACTCGTTTGCTACTTCAAGATATTTACTGGAGAGTTGAAGTCATCTAAATATACCTTTAGCTACCTTATTATATTATTTCGTCTGCATGACTTTCTCTGTAAATGTATCCACGTAATTATTTCTCTCATCATCCACAAATAGTGCTATAACTATAGTTAACTTGAATTCACAACATTCACATCATTTTAGTCTTCTATCTTATTGTTCCATTAGGTTACTTTTTTTCCTAGCATTTAACTGTATTCGATGTTATTCATCGTTCATCGTCAACTTCTCTTTTGCTACGCTAATGTGAGGGACAGTGACTAAAATGTCTTGAACTGTACAATAATGGTCAATGAATCACCAGATTTATTATAAACAAGAACAGTTTTAGGACGTTCGATGTATACGGTTTTCCTCCTTTTTATTTCTAAATAAACAAGTATTTACTGGCAGCTTCTGTCAGTGACATTATCAGAGAATGGTCCCTCTGAACTGACGCGAAGGATAACGAAATTGTAAACGATATGTAGTGAATTATTCAAGGTGGTTTACCTCAGGTTTACGCGGTTTTAGGTGTTGCAAATATCTTTTCAGTTGACGGATAAACTTAGGACTCTTTCCTAATGTACCAGCTGCATCGAGCAGGTATTTTGTACTAATTAATTTACCATACAATTGGTTGGGGTTTGCTGAGTCATCACAACCGATGGTTAAATATTTTGAAGGATGTGGCCCAGAATCATTCGCAGTGGTGAAGGTGCATTTACTCTGTCTTCTCTCAGATCCTAGGTCCCTAAATTCTTTACAAACTTTTCTCATTATATCAATTCATATGTTCTCGAATCGAATCATGGATACCGAATCTTTTTTAGCTGTGGTTTTGAAATATTTGATAATGAACACATACTGTATATAAATCGAGGGTCCAATACACAAACATGACACCCACTTTCAAATTTCATGACCGCTGCTGGAAATATACATCTAAAATCTTTCGTAGAAAACTCATTCTAACTAAAAAGACGGGAAACTAAGACCCAACATGTCAGCAACTTCAGGCGTAAATCTAAAAATTTGGCAATAAGGATTGTTCGGCTTGAATAACTGGCGATGCATGATTTTTCTCTTTATATTCGCAAAATGAATATTTTATCAGTTTTTAACTCTACATGAATGCCGATTTTTTTTTATCTGAATACAGGACATGAATGTAACGGCATTTGTCCCTAATATGCTTAATTTGTAGAGAACAGAGCATTTAAAACGATCAAATTAACATCATAAATGCAATAAAATGTTCAGCAACAACTAGGGTTCACATTTTATTATGGAAATAGACACAACCTAATATGGGCATCATTATCACCCGAAGACTATTCATTTACTTTAAGGTTACTGCAGTTTGGTGCTAAAATGTTTCAAAGATGTTTCTCACTGAAGAACCATCATAGAATCAAACATCCCAACCGTCAGTGAAAAAAAACACGTGTTACATCAATGGAAGATATATATAGTAATTATACTAAAGTTTGATAGTCATTGACTGCATCATTGTACAGTTCATAATATTCCTTAATGAGATGTAGAAAAGGGACGTCAATACCAACTGCTTCCTTCTGAAAGTTTTAAAACAATTATCACAAAATATAATGTGTTTAACAAACGCGCGAAGAGATTTATGATGGTTTACGGTGAAACTTGAAGAAATGTCTGCAAAATATACATGAATTTTTGATCGCCGTTTATAGAGACAACTTACTGAAGTTAGTAACTCATTCTAAAAGAATCAAACATTCTATTGCAAGCCGTGAAGGCTGCAAAATTGCTTCTACATCAAGACAATCATCGACTCATTACGTTAAGGTAAATATCGAATATCTGGAGTTTCTTGTGCTTTTGGATCACTAGTTCATTATTCGGATGATTGCTTGTAAAATTTCGGATAATCCAAGTATGAACTCGATTCTAGAAAAAATTTGGAGCTATTAGGATTGTGTAAAAACAGATTATGGGCAGCGCAAGAGTTTGATTTATGGGGAATTTTATAAATATTTTGGACATTCAAGATAGAAATGGGACAATTGTATTGTTAGACACAAGAAATATCTTTAAGGAGGTAAGGTTAGTGCATCCTAAATATTTTAAAATAAAATTTCATGACATACGTTTGCGTACTTATTTCTACCAACAAAAAAATAATTATTGACCCCTAAATAAGACCTTAAATTGTCTTATAGGTATATATACAAAATTCCCTAAAAAATCACCAAATCCAAATGTTACTGAATGCCAATGAAATTATATGTTCGTCTCCTATAAACTTAAGTGTTAAATAAAATGAGTCATACGCGGCTTATTAAAATGTCTCCAGTGTTGTTCTTACCCCAAAAATAGGTTTGCGATTACTCAGTGCTTTAGGAAAAATAATTTTACCTATACTTAACAGTAAATTAGTGAACTTGAGATGAAGTCTTGTCATAATAAAAAATGAAACATCACCATAATTATTACTGTTATTGTTACCAAGGTTAGAAAACAATAATTGAAACAATATTCTTTTACTGGATTTTAGACTCCAAAATTCATAATTGCAAAAATTGATCCAAATGTTTCAGAAATGTGTTAGTTATGTACACAATTTAAACTTTGTGTAAATCATCCAATTTACTTACAATATTAAGAGATTTGTCAATATCTGTAAGGCACCACAAAAGTCACTTTAATCATTAGAACGGACACAAAATATTTTGGGACAAGTCAATCGCTCTCCAAACTCCATTACTAAAATCTGTACCTTGATGCTGACTTTCAGGCAAAACACCAAAAAAATGCTTGATACATTTGGTTCGTAAAATCGAATATCTCTTTATATGCATCCCAAGTAGTAATATATATCATAGAATGAGGTGAAAAACAGTTTACGTCTGTCAGTTTTTTGTTACTAACGCTAGCGAATACAACCAACTAGATAACAGAGATAAATAAAAAGAACGCTTCTAGCAAAAGATCAGCTCATTGCACACATTTGTACATCAGTTAACAGTACTTGATCTTGATGACCATTGTATATCAGTAAAGGTTGCTAACTCTGATTAAACTCGAATATTTCAACACTTCCAAGGTTTAGTCGTGAACACAGGCAAATCCTTCCGCCAGTATTTAATGTGTCGACAATAATTATCATAGAATAAGTGTATGTATGCACATTCGGGGATTCAGAAATCCATACTTCACAAATTTTCTATTAGCTATTACGGATTCATTGAAATTTCGAATGTGTCGTTGTGTAGTGGTTCTAAAACCTGAATAATTTTGATATTTTATCTTTTGAATTGTTTTGGATTCATGTTTGCACTCTATTAAGTACCGGTTATCGTCTTTTCATCACTATTCTGCTTTTTTAGTGAGATACTAACTGATATGCTCATCCTTGTACCCTTTAGATTTTCGTCTTGTCTGAGTTATTTTACTTCCCCACTTTCCTTTAAATAAAAATTCATCTGTTGGATATAAACCTGCTAACAACCGGCATTTATGATAGCATATCAGACCAGATAGATGAATGTATTAAAAAAATTTAAACTCCGACTGACTAATGATATGGAAACATATATTTCAAAGATGTTTTCTGAATCAGTATGTACTACGAATGGTGCACACTAGATGCCATATAAACCAAAAATAAGGACTTACAGCAGATGTTTCGAAATACGGAATGTTTAGATCATCCGCTAACCCCTGGGCTTCTTCCACATTGTTGATATGCTTCTCTTTAAGGTCTATTTTATTTCCCACAAGAACGACTAGAAGCCAGGTATATGATAAGAAAGTACTCTTACCCGGTATACGTATATTATTAGGTTTCCGTAATTCTGTCAGGGTAAGCTTTGCACTGGAGAAACTTTCCTGGTTAGTTACATCGAAAACAACAACGATAAGGTTGGTCATATTAATCTACCCTTATAAAAATAATTAATGTCCTACATAATGATTCATGGGATCCTGAAAAACTTCTTTGCCTGGGATATTATATAAGAACAATTCCTAGGAAATAAGTTCTTTACTGTTCACTTTACCGTACGATGCTGTCATCCACTTGTGGTATTGTCATTGTTTTTACAGCGAATTCAACCGTCTTAGACTGGAGTTCTTAATGTTATTTGAATAATTATAGCTACCATAAGGTAGTTCTTTGAGAAGTCCTGGCCACCACTACAAAATGATTGAACAATTGACGTTTTTCCACAATATGGGCTTCCTAAACACTTAAATACGATCACTGAACACCAACCAAGGATATGACATTTTGCTCGCAAGCATTCGTGCATTTTTCAAAAGTTACCGTGGTGATGCTACGACAACTAATGACCTTGAACTACTTTTCAGTCAACGAAAAAACCGGCTGTGAAAATAGTTATGAAAATTAACACAGCTATGATCATTGTTACGAGCTGGTGCAAGTCAGCTGGTTTCTTCGAGCTAAGTTTTTAGGTCTATGATACGGTTTCAGGTCTTGGGTGACTTCTAATGAAAGAAAGTGTGTCCATTCACCTGCATTAACACAAGCGAAGTCGACTGTTATTTTGGGGTCCGCATATCTACAGTCTGGTGAAAGCATTTTTAAGATAATGAAACCAGCAACTACTAAATTATATACAGACGATTAATTTATTGTAATATTGGGGTTGTACAATTAGAATACAGAGGAGTGACAAAACAATGATGTGGAGTAGTCAACAGGTTAATTAAATAAACTTCATAAACAAACAACGGTATAAGATTATCCGATAAGTGAATCTGACAAGAAGACAAATTGATAGAGTAGGTTAATGATAACAATGAAAATGAATTTTTTTATAAGATCTGCAACATGGAGGACAATTGGATGTCAAAAACATCTTACCGTGTTATTGGACACATCCTATTTCTATTCTAGGCCAAAACGTGTGAAAATACCACACGTACGCAGTGTTTATCAGTTCAACTTCCCACAAACAGCTCTCGAACAAGGGACCTGAAGCCTATAGTGATCTACTCTTATGAAGAGAACACGAGTGGTGTAATGGAAAAATTTATTTTCATAACGAACTGAACCAGTGATTTTTACTGCATCTTTTTGTTTAATTGTACCAAAAACACACTTTTCCGTTAAATGTGACCTTAAACCCACTCCGATACGCACGGTAGTCTTGCTTGCAGATTCTGGCACGATCTCAGTATTATTTCGTCACCATGAGATCGCCAACAAATACATCCTCACTACAACTTGACGACTGCCTTCTAATATTTGTTCTACGGAGGAGTTTAATCTAGTAATCGACAGGTAATCAATCTGCAGTGGTGATCATAGGCAACTGCAACTCGACGCTCACCACAAGCCTATGGAGGATGAAATAATACGAAGTCGTATTTGAATGCTGGTTGATATTGTTAAGCACATGTAGTCACAGCTAACTAGCTGTCACATGAGATGTGCAGCACGACTCATCTGAATGAAAACCAACTTATGGTTCGTCTGGCCCTCCATAGAATTTGTCACTGCAGTCTATGCCCTCTGACAGTAACATCCATTGGTCACTCTCCGTTGGCACTTCATAGAAGCGATGACCACAGAGTAAGTATTCTCCTAATTCTTATATCGTTTTAAATACTAATCATCTACATTTATAGAGGTTGAATATCTAAATACTACTACGCCCGAACTTTTCTGGGGACACTAAGTCTCTTCACAGCTCTTGTAAACATCTTTAATCTGGTACTCTCCACAGTTCGTGTCCACGTAAATAGATACTGGTAAACTGATGTTTACTGAGGCCCTTTGATTAACAAACGAGATAGAGTAGATGGCCTCGCGTTTCTCCTGTTGATACACCAGGCGTGAACGTTTTACGCTTCGAACGCAGTCTGTTAACTTTGGTACAGAACGCTCTGCCCTGATGATAATTCAATAGCCAAGAAAGTAGATTCGACGATGTTCGGGATTATATCATTCACGTCTGAGAGGTCCGAGAGTGATGCAAATAAGAACGCTTTAAGATTCTAGCAGTGTGCTCAACCATCCACTGATGACAGCATGTTTGTAACACAGTACCTAGACTTCATTATCCCATGCTATGCTTCCTAAGACGGTTATTTTGCTGACGAACCCCACCATCTGATCATCTGCTTGTTTTACAAACAATTTTAATGGTATTGGCAGAAGAGCTATAAGTCAGTAGCAGATCTGGTTTGCCCTTTGCCCCCTTTGAAATCAGAAGGGTGTTTGCTCTACTTGACTCTTTGTCAATTGCTTGGATTTAAAGGAGTGGTAAAAATGTATCGATTTGTCGGTGATAAGGAATACCTACCAATTCCCTCAGCATCGTGGAGTTCATAATGCCATAAACCAGTAATTTACCGGTTTCCAAATTTAATAACTTTCCTAACACTTGTCTAAGCATTGGTTGGTCAACGCTTTCGACTATCTTCGGAGCTGGAGTATCGATCCAAACTTGTTGTATCGGTTCTTTGTCAAAGTGTCCAGTAAAGACGTTAGTGGTACCGAGTTCATTTCGAGTAATACATTAAGACCCGGTGACAACAAACTTTCCTGGACCATGCTTTCCTATGTGACATGAACTGATATAGTCGCTTTAATCTAAATCTCGGTTTGTTTGAAAATCACTCCTATGTTTTAAAACATCTATTTCATGCTCTTGTCGTAGCCCTAAGTATAAATTATGGTCTAAACCTAGCACTGAAGCCTGCTTCATGTTTCATGTTACCCTGTTTGCATAAACTTTTACTGCCTCACTTTATCCAGAATGTTCTCTTAACTGGATTATACCAATACTGTCCAGTGTATGTATCAAACAAAATTACGTGATTAAAAATGGAGTGTTAACTATTCTTCGGGAATAAAACATAATGGACGAAATAGTCATCTGTTTGTTCGAAGTGGGCATTAGATTTCCTATTTCCCCCTGATGAATGATCAGATGCTTTTGTTTCATAAACGTGTGTTTAGAACACTTAACGTTCTCCTTATGTTGTGTTATCAACCGTATGACACCAATCCAAAAGCCCTTCTATTTACTATTTAACAAGGTTAAGCATTGACACGTCTTCTAAATGAACGCTAGATTCAGTTCCTAAGGTCTTCTAGAACTGCATGCTAAACCTACACAGCGGGCATGGTTTAAACGTTAGGCCCCTTGGAATGTGCCCTTTCGTTTCAACGACCTTGAACGACCTGATTAGAGGCGGTTATTCCGTATTTCAATTGCCATGGGTTGGTTGGATTGCATGAGTATCAAGTTTTTTCACATATAAGTCATCTTATGCTGCATAAAAAAGCACGAAATAAATACCAAAAGCATTAATTTAGCATTCTCTGTTTTATAGCGTACACTTTGGCTCTGTTGTTGCTTTGTAATTTGATCTCTGATCCCAACATCTGTGGTAAAGCTCAACGAAATGTCAAGTCACAGGTAAATCCTAGGTATTTGTAGTATTTCCTTGGGTTATTATTGTTGCAAGGAATAACTTTTTAATAATTATTCATGTCTGTTTTTAGTGCGTCATGCTCAAGTGATATCTAAGTCGACCTTACAGATGCCTTTCGAAGTATGATATTGAATAAGCGTTTCGTGTTCTGGGATGATTTTGATAGCGCCTTAAAAGAGTTCCAAAATGTATGGAATAGTAATTTTATCGCTTCTCAGACTACTTATACTCGTTACATCCACACGGAAAGCAAGTTGCTAAAGGATGTCATTTTCAAATACCTGTTTGTAACGTTTAATTGTACGTTTGGTCATAAATGGAAATCGGAAAGTTTGAAAGTGAAGCGAAAATCGTAAGATCTTTAACTAATATCTGATGTTTAAGATCTAAATTCCGTAATTGTCAATCTAAATTCCATGTAGGACTAGAGGAGCAAGGATATGTCATCAAATCCTACAACATGCCCCACAATCATCCATGTAGTATAAATAAAAATAATATATTTGTAATATCCCAATAAGTAGAAAATCCAATTTTCTACTCATTGGGATATTACAAATATTTTATTTTTATTTATAACAATGAACCCAATGCTCAATTTATTCGAAATTATCAAATCAAACCATGGTAATGACACCTTCATCCATGTAGTAGTTCATGGATGGTGAGTGATCCATGGACAAGGAGATTATCATCAGAAGAAAAAGAGAACTTGAAGCCAGTAATACTGCACTGTGAGTCAGCAGATGAAGTTATCGAAAGTATTAAGGAGAGAACTGGTAAGCAAGTATATGCTGCCGATATAAGAGGTATGAAAGCTACACTCTCCACTGGTAAGTGTATATAAATACATTTCAGGTTGTTTTACTCGGAAGCAGGTAATGGATATACTGAGACAAAAAGACTAAGTGAGAGAACATTTAGAAAATGGATATGCCACGAGAATATGTTTAAGTAGTTATGACCAAATACAGCTGTACAAGAAATATCCAGAAGTTCTGTCCATTGATTTTACGTATAATACTAATAATAAAAAGTGAATATGTTTATCGTTTTGCTTTACTATGTAGATATTCGTTATTCCAGTTAGTGGTGGCAGATAATTGGGGTCAAGGACGAATTATTATGTTTGCGTGGACACGAAAAGAAAAGCGAGCCGATGTGACATGGATCTTAGATAAATTCAAAGACATAATGGGTAACACAATGTTGACAGAAACATTTGTGATGGATTTCGCACGATGTGAACTTAAAATAATGCGTTTCGTTTACGTGGAATATGAAAGCGACGACTGGTTGTTTATGGTTGACCGCGGACAACATTATAAAGTGGATGTAAGCATTTGTCAATGCGATTGTAGGACGTTTATTATGTGTCGATATCCGTGCCGTCATATTTTGTTTAATTACGGCTCCTTCTGGTTTAGTGGGATGTCACGAATTTATGGTATTGATGCTGACTTATCACGCAAAATACCTCTTTAAATCGTGTTACGAATGTTGAATTGGTTTCACTTCCTACCCAGAAATCCTATTACAAGCAAACCAGATAATTCGCTAATATTCGAAGCCTACTCAAGACCCTATAATACCTGGAAAAAAATAATAATACAAAAAAACGAAAGGGGCTCTAATTGCTTCGATAATAAAGGGAAGATTGCCAATTGTATTTCACAATACTGTTTCTAGCACTATATTTTATTTTATAACCACAAATAATCACATACTCCTTTCCAAATTGCCTCCATTTGTCAGTTGTATGTCCACTCACACCTTGTTAACACTTATTTTCTTTTACCTATTAAAATGCTCTTTCTTAACAAATACCTTAATAAAAGAAAATTAGACTAAGTAATCATACCTTAAACATTCCTTCATGAATATTGGCTAC